GGGTGGAGAGGGAGGTGGGAGGGGGGACCGGGATGGGGAATACATGTAAATCCATGGCTAATTCATTTCAATGTATGACAAAAACCACTGCAATGATGTAAAGTAATTAGCCTCCAACTAATAAAAATAAATGAAAAAAAAAAAGAAAAACAAAAACAAAAGATTCTCTTATATTTGTGTTTGGGCATTTAGGGAGTAGGTCGTTCTCATATATTTTTTGGAGGGAAAAACATATGTGCCTGGAGCTCTTGCTTTTTTGAGTGAATCAAACTCCAATTTCATATTGTAAGATTTTCAACCATCATGAAATAGTAAACTCATGTTGCTATCTATTTATGATTTGCCTCTAGAAGTATCACAATTTTGGAAAACTCATAATTCCAATGGAAAAAAACAGAGCCTAAAAAGTACAGCTTTGATGCTTTCGAATTACGGTGCTGAAGGAGACTCTTGAGAATCTCTTGGACTACAAGGAGAATAAACCAGTCAATCCTAAAGAAAATCAACCCTGAATATCCATTGGAAGGACTGATGCTGAAGCTCCAATACTTCGGCCACCTGATGTGATGAGCTGATTCAATGGAAAAGAGCCTGGTGCTGGGAAAGATGGAAGGCAAAAGGAAAAGGGGGAGGCAGATGATGAGATGGTTAGATAGCATCACCAACTCAATAGACATGAGTTTGAGCAAACTCCAGGAGACAGTGAAGGACAGGTAAGCCTGGTGTGCTGCAGTCCACAGGGTCACAAAGAGTTGGGCATGACTTAGCGACTGAACAAGAAAAAATACAGCAGAATCCTTGATGCAGAGAGCCCTTAGAGGCCATGACCTTGGGCTGAGGAGGCAGAAAGACAAGGATGAGGGTTCTGCCTCTGCTGCCTGGATGCCGTTCTGAGCTTCCACCTGGGAGGCAGCGAGTCCTCTGCCTCGTGGTGGCTCTGAGGTTGAGCGAGGTCAAGCCTAGTAAGTACTGTGTTCACTGTTAGCTCTTCTGTTATCAGCACCTACAATCCCATGATGCTAATGAGTCCCACATGTGACCAGACCACTCTCATATAATCTCCTCCTCTCTGCCTAAGTTCACTGCAGCGCAACTAAAAGTCCAGGGGTGCCTTTCAGTCACTGAAGATAGCGGCTTTCACATGTGAAGATCAGCAGAGAAGCCCAAAGCCAGGTGAAGGTGGCAACCCAGGGCAGTTGGCCAGCCCTCTTCCTGCCTGCAGCACGTCCCTGCCCAGCAGTCGCCTCCAGGACACGGGGGCTGACTACAGTTATCTGCACGTCCTGGGCCCAGGTGGTTCATGAGTGGCTTGGCCACTTGCTGACAGCAGACACTGGGATGATAAGTTGAGGCTGAAAGGGTCTGCTGTAGGTCACATAACCAGCATTTCTGTGCTCACTAAACTCATCAAGGGGCAAATATGGAGAGACGAAGGACCTGGAGACCAGTGGATCTAATTTGATTAGATGTCGAAAAAGGCTTTTGATAAGCTCTATGAAAGGCTTTTTAGACAACCCCCTCCAAGTGGCTATTGCAAGTCCCTTGTCAGGGCTCACAGCCAGGCTCCTTCACGTATGATCTGTGGGCCGACAGCTTCACATCCCTGCAGCTTGTCAGAAAGCCAAGTTCCTGGGCCCCACCCTAGACTACGGGGTTAGGATCCTTGGGGTGGGGTCTAGGAATTTGTGTGACAAGCTGCCCAGCCCAAGTGACTTTTTTTTAAAAAAGTCAGGTTTATTGAGACAGAATTGACATACAGTACCTTTTGCCCTCCAGGTGATTCTGATGGGCAATCATCACCAGAACCAAGTTAGCATCACAGGAAACAAAGGAGAGAGACAAAGGCGTCTCAGAAAAGAAAAACAGCAGGGCTCCTGAAAGGCACGCTTGTTGGAGCCGATCATCTTCCAGCTCTCCAAGCTCCTTTGTGATACTGAAGCCTACAATCCGCTGACGGTCCTGGTGGTGAAGTGTCAGGTCAATAGAAACATATTAAAAGGAACACTCGGAATCTGTCTTTGGGAACACTACTCCCCAGAGCTGATGGAGCGGGAGGAGACTCAGTGTCGCAATCTTGTATTTATGGATATTTTGCCTCATCTCATAAATGACTTGAGGCTTTATAAAAATAGGTACCATAGAAAGGAGATGCAAGTGAGAAAGACGTATGTGTGTGTGTGTGAGAGAGAGAGAGAGAGAAAGAGAGAGAGATGGAGAGGGAAGGAGGGAGAATTGGGTGGGAAGGGGAGGAAGGAGAGAAGATACACAGAAGGGAGAGAGGGAAGGATAGACAGATGGAGAGAGGGGCATAGGAGGGAAGTGGGGGAAAGAGGAAGGATAGAGAGACAGAGACAGACAGGCAGTAAGAATGGGAAGGACAGAGCAGACAAAGGAATACAAGGGCAGGGGTCTAAAAGAACTAAGAAGTCAGGTATCAGGTTACACATGAAGACATGTCAGAGAGTCCTGAGCACGTGCCTCCATGCCTCCAGGTCATCTAAGCAAGGATGCACACAGTCCACTAGATAGAAATGCACCCATTTTGCATATGCAGGACAGGCTCAGCTTTGCCTGAGTCTATGGTCAGAGAGCAACTTCTGCAGCTGCTTTCGAAGGGGACTTCAAGTGTTATGGTGGACGACATCTCCCAGGAAGACAACACAGAGACACTTGCCAATGTCACTGTCTACTGTTCAATAGCTAAGAGCCAAAGAGCCCAGGCCGCGGGGAAACTCCCTGCCCTCGTCACAGTGATGAAGGCGAATACCTGCTGGTTTGCTCTCTGCAGTCAGAGAGCAGCGTGAGGTGGGGAGTCTGATGCTTAGAAGGTAGCCTCCCAGTCCTTAACAATCCCACTGTTCTCACTCAACCCCCGGTGCTGAGAGGACCAAGGGATGCTAAGTGATGATCATGATCACTAAAATACTGTTTATTTTAAACCCCCTTTTCCTGATTACAAAAGTGATACATCACTGTAGAAACCTTTTGTAAGTGCCGATGTAAAATAAAAAACATTTTCAAGAATAAAACTCATCTTTAATCCACCACTTCGGGAGAACCGGGCTTGCCTGGTGGCGTAGTTGCTAAAGAATCCGCCTGCAATGCAGGAGACCCCGGTTCAATTCCTGGGTCG